GAAATGCTGATTCCCTGCAGGTGTGCAGAAACGAAATCATAACCTCGATTGGTGGGGGAAGAAAAGTCCACCAGCATCCTTTGAAATTCTCTACAACTACAGCAAACAAAGAACTCGGACGGACGAAAAAAAGATAATCGCCGGTCATCTAATCAACGCGTCGAGTGCCTAGTGCGAACTCTGAGTCATCCCTGCAAGAAGATAACTCGTAATCTCCGTTATTCAGATATGCTTCGCATCTGCAGTTCAACTATAGGCAGCACCCTGTGGTTGTAGTTGGTTAATCTGCACATCCATAGGCGCTTGCGGGACTCTTGCCAAACATCAAATTGGTTTAGGGTTGTCATGCGGGAACCGCTGAGCGGACCGAAACTCACTCTGAAGCGAGTCAAACATTCCATTTCAGCGCGGCCTTACTAGTTGACCGATCGGTAGGCCACCCAGCGCACCGGGGCGTCTGCGATGAACAAGTTGACCTAGTGAGGGAACAAAAGTCACGTCGTGTGAGGTGATTCTCCGTGCAAATGAGAATCATACGTTTGACTAGTGACAGAGAGACACACGATTCGCAGAATAGGCCTGAATGATAAGCAAGAATATCTAAGGAAAAAGTAGAAGGGTCTGTGTCTAGGGCCACGAACGGAAGCTTGACGTAGGACCGCTAGTGGACGGAACAAATGTGAAGGGCATTTAGTTCGTTTAACTGATCGATCTTAACTCTTTCCGTTTTTGAATTGTAGGCGTACCAAATTTGTAGTAATTTTTTTGAAAGAGAATGTTGATGAAGAGAATCGATCAAAATCAATTGCACTCCTGCTTCCATGGTTGGTTACAGGATTACAACTCTGGAGAGCATTTTGTGTGGTCGTTGGGGGCGTGTGGTTTTCAATATGGACAAACAGGCACAGATAAATTGTAGTCCAACTATTTACTGTAATAAGCTTGTTGGCCTTGAAAAGGGCCGTTCTGTTGCCAAAGTTGGTTCGAAACCGCACAGAGTGCGTCTGTCGCTGCAAAGCGTAGACGACATCCATGGCCGCTTACGCTTGGCGTGTTCAGAGTAGGTGAAAGCATCACGGATCACATTTCCCAGGAACACCTTCAGCACATCTCGTGGTTTCTCGTAGATCAAACCGGAGATACGTTTGACACCGTCACGGCGAGCCAGGATGGCAGTTATCACGAAGAACCTTGCGATGACGTTTGGTGCCTTCTTTACCAAGACCTGTTCCTCCTTTGCCGCGACCAGTCATTGTTACCTCTTAAGTAGAAGAGTGGACTACCTAATCTGTCACCTCCTTCCTATTGCTATTGCTGCATCTGCGGCCTGCTCACTACGCCGTCTGAAGCGAAAATGAGTTAAGGCTAGACAGCAGCGCTGTTTTATATCTTTTCAGGTTAAAACAGAATGATGTGCAACCAAGTGATACTCGACTATGGTGGCTGGGTTTGTGAAGAACGTTTATTTCATGAAAACAGTGATAAAATTATCACTTTTTATTTGTACATTGGACAATGCTTGACATTACCACTATTTCAATAGTTCTTGTTCAAAATCATCAGTCGGAGTTTTGATGCTTAGAAATATTTCTGATGACTTGGTGATAAAATTATTGAAATTGGCCCATGGGCACCTGAGTTATTAACGTTCAAAATCTTTCATAATTTTGTTACATGTTCCATTTTCGGTTTTCACAAAGTGTACCCCCATATAGAAATCACAGACGTGTAGAAATCAAGAATAAGATAAGATCCCCGGTAAAATCGATATTCCGAACCTGGCCAAAAAGCCATATGGTAAGCTATTGGACTTTATTGTTAATTCGGCACTGGATCAGTAAGCTGGAGTACGTTAGGTTGAAGGGCGTTAGGCCGGTGTAAATTTATCAGTAACAATCTTGTAAATGTAGCTCAACTCTCGTAGTACCATATCTTATCCTTCGTTCCAAATGTAAATGCAAAGAAATCCACTGTAATGAAAAGCCTTATATTCAAAGGCTGTTTCGAATCAAATCTATTTACAGATACTCTTTCCGGAAGTCTGCTCGACAACCGTTAAAAATTGACTCCTTCAAAATGTTATTCTGCTGTCGGCACAACTTAGCAACCGTTCAGAGGAGTTTCATCCCTACAGATGGTTGAGAAGAGCTTGGAATAGAAGCTGTTCGGGACAAAACCACAATTTGCAGGTGGTTTTTGCTTTAGATGGACTGAGTTTTGTTAGATTGCATGAGGTAATGATGCAGAAAATACTTACAGTTTTTATTTTTAAATGTGGCATGTCACGATTCTCGAAATTATTGGGCTTTGCAATGGAGTAAACAAAGTTTTCATCCTTAGCAACGATTGGAAAACCGTCAACGCTCGACAGTGATGCCATTTTATAATATATTTCTTGTGTTCTACTTGTCAGCGTGTGCCCTAACGTGCTAAACACTGTGCCATGCTGTGTTTCGGCACAAAGTGCAGGGTTGATAGCCCCTATTCAGTGAGAGTTTGATTGTAACACAGGGGTGTGTGAATAGAAATTGTTACAATTTTAATTCATTTATTACATTAAGGAAACAAAGATTGGCATGTTGACAAATCTTATTTGAACATGATAATAGAAAGACGTGTCTCCAAGAAAACGAAAGAGTGGACCATATTGTGAATGTAATTTGATTTAATTGCATATTCTAGATCGCAACCGTTCAAGTGAGTTTTCACTCAGCAGATAACGTTTTTCGTATTCCTTCAGTTTCTCGTCTGTTTCGTTCTACCGTTGTCAGTTTCGCATCCTTTTGCACTTGCTTGGATGAATTTTCACTTGTTCAGAAATCTGTTATCCACTGAGCTCGGCGATTTTGTTTCCATGGTCTACGGTTGGACGCTGATTTGTAAGCAAATTGTTCGCACTTTCTCATAGCGATTCTGTCAAATTTGCAGTCCCAGCATTTTATTCTCGCCACTTTACATCACTGTTTCAAAAGCTGTTTTTCGACATCAGCTAATAACAAAGTTCTCAATATCCTTCCGAACCGAAAGGCAACAACTGTGCGAAGTCTTACCACGGCGAGTTTCCTACAACGTTTCTTCCCCAATGCCATGGGCAAACTTTTCAATTATCGCCGTAAATTCTAATTTTAATTTAAATCTCCGGAGGCTCTTGCCTCGCTCCACACCGCAAGCTGATTTATCAAGTTTCTTTCAATTAATTTGGGTTCCTTTTTTCCGGGCTGGGCATGGCTTAGCTCCGGGCACCATCCAATTTTCACTATCGCCTTCTTTCATTCAGCGAGTTGGCGCGGATGGTAGCGAGATTCTTAAAGTGCTTTTAAATTTAATGAGATCGAAGTTTTTTTTCGTTACGTTGCTACTACTTTGTCGGGGTCGTTTTTTTCCGCTATGCTCGTACGGATTTATCCCATTTATTGCGATCGGTTTGTTTTAAATTTTTAATGCCGGCTGTTTTTTTTTTAAGCGGAGCCGTTTTTTTGCTAGGATCTACAATAATAGTAGATTTATCCACCATCCCACCGCTGCAAAATCTCGCTCGGATACTGGTTCTATAAAATGAACGTACATTCATGTATATATGCATACACATGTACAGATAGACCTATTCCTGTTTCGACTAAATTAATTAATTACGTTTGTTCGATTGGCTTTTAATTGAGTTGATTCGAAATGTGTTTCTGTCACGATGCGGCTGAATTGGTCCCCCGTGGGTGGCAGGCAGCATTATTGGCAGCCTTCAATGATATGGTGGCAAGTGGGAGGAGTGGGAGCCGGGTGAGGTAAGCTTCGTCGATTTTGAGATTTTAGTCCTCTCGTAATACATTGTGCGAATATTGGTGGTGTTCAAATATCTATGTAGTTTGTAGTTTTAATCAAACATAGGTAAGTTTTCTGAAGGGAGCAATTGCAATTCAGTTGAAATGAAAATCATCACATCCAATGTTCGGTCATTTTGGCCGGTAACGATCTTTTCAACTGTGTTGAACTGTTATGAACGTGTGGATAGGAAAACGAATTGAATGATGCGGCGGTGTCGCATCCTGCCTGAACTGTCGAAAAATGGTACGCTTTGATCTCATCCGAATGAAGCTGAACCGCATAACAAATCGTAAGTAGCTAATTGGCATTAGCTAAAAAAAAAAATTTCGAACCACCCTAAAATAGGCAAAATCGAGAGAATGAGAGCGACCGACCCTCGTTAAACGGTTTATCAGCTTTGCCATTTAATTATTTCAATTATATCCGGAAAATTGCAGAGTATCAGACATCATTGCGTTTTGTTTGTTGTGTTGAATGCCGAGTTGTTTTTTTTTTCATAGCTGAAATTCATGGCATGAATCAAACAATGGGGGGGTCTGGACAGGAATGGGGATAAGCCGATGTGATTTTTTTTCTCAATTTCATAGGTACAGCTTCCTTGCTTGAGGCGGGACAAAAAAAATATGCGCTAGAATTAATGACGGTGGTGGGGCAAATATCGTGACTATTGATTTTATGTATGATTCAGAGCTTTAAGCGCTTTTCTGTCTGGCGCTTTGGTTATGTAATTATCTGCTGATTTGTGTTTTGCTATCTTCTTTGCTTTCAAATTCAGAGGTGATGTGTACGATATGGTGGGGTCTAGCTGATTTCCTACTTTGATATTTTCTTCTTGATCTAGAAAGCTTATCTAATCGAACTCTTGTGCATGGTGGAAGATGCTCGGGAACTGTCCATCGGATATTCGTCCATCTGGCAGAATATCACGTACCTGTGGGTGGTGGTTTGTGACGGAATAATTTGGAACGGGCGGTGATTTGAGTTGAGTTTTGGTGAAATAACGATTTTGTTTTTTTTTTTCGGATTGGTAATTGTGTTCCAACGACAGACAGTGATAAATTGTGATACGCGGAAATAGAAAGAAATTTACGAACACGGGTGAATTAGAAAGGGGGTGGTCTGTCTCGGCGTGAGGTTTCATGTGTGGTTGTGGTCATTTGGTTATATTCCGGAGAACTTACCTTGCTGGGAGGATGAGAGTCTCGAACTCCGTTGCCAGATGACGTCGGATGATGTTCTTGGAAGGTGGAATTCCGAGAGCCGTGGCCATCGTGTCTCCGGAGAAGGATGGCTCGAGCACTACCAGACCACCATGGACTCCGCTGTCTGTTTTGGAGAATCGATTCGTATAAGCAGATGAAGCAAGCCGACGACAATAAGGAATACCTTTCAAGTTGTCAGCATATTCTCCGAGGTCTATCGAACGCGCCCAGCGGATGAATCGCTGATTGGTCCACACTATCGGATCGGTGTCTACGTTTTCGGACTGCAGGCGTCTCATTGCCAGGGCTTGGCGGTCGTACTTCATGATTCGTAGGACGTGGATTCCTGAAAGTAGATTCCGTTTTCAAAACACACCAGTTCGACAAAAGTTCCCATCTTACCGTGAACAATACTGGCTTGGTGGAACTTCCTGGTGACGCCTAGATATTTCTCCAGTTCCTTCTTGGATAACGTATCCAACATCCGGGCGTCCACCAAGGAGTGCATGAACGATTCAGCATACTGTGGAAGACCAATATCCGGAAGCCACTCGGAAGCAACCCACCTAAGAGTTGAAATTAATCCATCAGACCAATTATAGCCACCCCCCCCCCCTCCCACCATGCACCCAAATACTCACGTATGACCCAGCTGCCCAATGGTCGGATACCGCACCAGTTCCGGACGGCGCTGTTCCTCGATCGCCAGTCGCAGTTTCTTCCGATGCATCGGATGACTGGTCCCGAGTCCACTCTCCAGTTCAGCATCGCTCAGCTCCAGCAGAACCTTACCACTCTTGACATTCTCCGCACATCGTGTACTGTACTGGGGCATCCCCAAAGCCACCTCTAACCACGCTAGGACCTGCGAAGCTCTCCAGCGCTCCATTGGCATCGAGGAAGCTTCCCTCAGCAGTCGCAGCTTCTCCGCGTAGCCCTCCTCCGTCAGTGGACTCCACTGGAAGTCGGTGGCTTCGGCTTCGGCTACCGGATTGCTCTTGTTGCGATTCCTGTTTCGGGCGAACACTCGCGATATACTACCCCAAGTGCCACCCCGACCACTACGGCCGGTGAGACTCATTCCACCCCCAGCAGAGGTGGCACCGCCAGTCTTTGATGATTGAGATTGCACTTGCTGCTGCTGCTGCTGTTGCTGTTGTTGTTGCAGTCTTCTCGAAAAGGTTTGATTCTCGTTCTCGACCGGGGAACCCAGCTGGTCCACAGAACGGAAAGAGCTGTGAAGATTGACAATTCTTATAGTTCACACAATCCAGATCTATACCAACCGATAGACTTACTTTGATACTGCAGTATTATCGACAGACCGTGAGTAGGCTCCCGCATTCAGCGGCGATAGAGTAGGACTACGTTCCTTTGGTGTTCCATCTATGGACCAAAACAAAGACTTCAGAGATTCGTTCAATCATACTTATTCCAACAACACTCACATTGATACATATTATGATGACTAGACACTAACGACACACTATCCGAATCGACCTGTATGCAAGGCCCATTCTCACAGGGTCCATCACTGAGATTCAGATCACCGGCGGCACTCTCCCGATCGCTGCTTCCTGCAATGAGCTCTGATGAGTGAACACAACGACCTATTAGCTACCCCTTTTACTACAGGTCAGCGGTCTTAAAAACTTACCTCTGACGCCGGAATCGGCACTGCACGAACCTCGGTCGCCGGGAGTTCCACTAATGTTGGAATACCCGCCGGCAGTCGTTTGGGTGTGGCTCATCAGCCCGGACGGCGGCGTCAGTGGAGCTGCCGAAACAAGGCTCTCCTGATCGGACATGCACCCGGACAGTTGCCGTCGGGCTTCCTGCAGCTGTTCCTGGGTTCGCTGCAGCTGGATGTCCCTGGCGTTGAGCTGCGCAGCCAGCGCTATCGAACGCTCCGATTCATCCCGTGCATGCTTTAGCAGAGACCACCGCTCCCGTTCCCGCTCGGTGTTCTGCTTGGCGCTGTTGTTTTCCGTTTCCCGTATTCGTTGCTCGAAGTTACGGATGAAGTTCCGCAGCTCTTGCTCCTTGTCCTGTAGCGAGGAGCACAGCTGCTTAACCTGGATCAGCAGGTCACTCTTGTCCGAGCGGAGCTTCTTGCGTTCCAATTTGAGGCCTAGATAGAATACGGTTCGTTAGCTCGCATAGGCTTATTACCGCAGCGGGTGAATGCACACTTACTTTGAATCAACTCCTTGGATATCCGAAGCTCATTTTCGAGCTTCTCCACCCGGCTGCTGCTGTCGTCGGTCGAGTGTGCGTCGAAGCTGTTGCTGTCGGATAGCAAATCAATTCCTCCTACCGCTCCTTCCGGTGAGTTCTCCAGGAGCTTTTTCAGCCGGGTTATCTCCGCCGTCAGGCGTTCGTTTTCCAGCCGGATTTTGGTGGTTTGGGGAGATTCTGGTGAGGAAGGGTTCGAAGGTTAGTTTTAGCATCAGATTTAGGTTGATTTATACTGTCGAATGTCTTTCAAGCTGCTTGAAAATGGTCACTTTTTTTAATCGGTAATTTTTTTGCATCCGTAATTTTTTTAATCGGTAGATTTTTGCACGTGGATTATTTTTTAAATGACTCAAAGTTAGCTGTTAATTTTGATCTCACAACTGCTGACAAGACGGTAAATTTTCAATTGATCAATTTTCAATTGGTCAGTTTTCAATTGGTCAATTTTCACAAGGTTAAATTTTCAATTGGTCTATTTTCAATTGGTCAATTTTCAATTTGATAATTTTAAATTGGTCAATTTTCAATTGGTCAATTTTCAATTGGCCAATTTTCAATTGGTCAGTTTTCAATTTGTCAAATTTCAATTTGTCAAATTTCAATTAGTCAATTTTCAATTGGTCAGTTTTCAATTGGTCAATTTTCAATTGGTCAATTTTCAGTTGGTCAATTTTCAATTGGTCAATTTTTATTTGGTCAATTTTCAATTGGTCAATTTTCAATTGGTCAATTTTCAATCGATCAATTTTCAATTGGGCAGTTTTCAATTGGTCAATTTTCAATTGGTCAATTTTCAATTGGTCAATTTTCAATTGGTCAATTTTTAATTGGTCAATTTTCAATTGGTCAATTTTCAATTGGTCAATTTTCAATTGGTCAATTTTCAATTGGTCAATTTTCAATTGGTCAATTTTCAATTGGTCAATTTTCAATTGGTCAATTTTCAATTGGTCAATTTTCAATTGGTCAATTTTCAATTGGTCAATTTTCAATTGGTAAGTTTTCAATTGGTCAATTTTCAATTGGTCAATTTTCAATTGGTCAATTTTCAATTGGTCAATTTTCAATTGGTCAATTTTCAATTGGTCGATTTTGAATTGATCAATTTTCAATGGGTCAATTTTCAATTAATAATTTTAAATTTTAATTTTAAATAATGGGTAAATTTTCAAATGGTAAATTTTCAATAATTCAATTTTCAAATGGTCAATTTTCAATTAATAATTTTTTAATTGGTCAATTTTAAATTGGTCAAATTTCAATTGGACAAATTTCAATTGGTCAATTTTAAATTGGTCAAATTTCAATTGGCCAAATTTCAATTGATCAATTTTAAATTGGTCATTTTAAAATTTGTCGAATTTTAATTGGTCAAATTTCAATTGATCAAGGTTAAATAGGTCAATGTTTAAAAGGTAAATTTTCAATTAGTCAGTTTTCAATTGGTCAATTTTAAATTGGTCAATTTTAAATTCGGCAATTTTCAATTGGTCAGTTTCGAATTGGTCAATTTTCAATTGGTCAATTTTCAACTGGTCAATTTTCAATTGGTATATTTTTCAATTGGTCGTATTTTAATTAGTAAATTTTTAATTGGTTAATTTTCAATTGGTCAAGTTTAGTTGGTTAATTTTTTATTGGTCAATATTCAATGCGTCAATTTTCAATTTATCATTTTAAAACCGGTCATATTTAAATTAGTCAATTTTGAATTGGGAAATTTTCAAATGGTCAATTTTCAATTGGTCAATTTTCAATTGGTCAATTTTCAATTGGTCAATTTTCAATTGGTCAATTTAAAATCGCTCAAATTTCAATAAGTAAATTTTAAATTGGAAAATTTTAAATTGGTCAGTTTTCAATTGGTTAGTTTTGAATTGGTAAATTTTTAGTTGGTCAATATTCCGTTGGTCAATTTTCAATTGGTCTTTTTTAAGTTGGTCAATTTTTAATTGGTCCATTTTCAATTGATCCATTTTCAATTGGTCAATTTTCAATTGTTCAATTTTCAATTGGTCATTTTTCAGATGGTAAGTTTTGAATTGGTAAAATTTCATTTGGTAAATTTTCAATTGGTAAATTTTCAATTGGTCAATTTTCAATTGGTCAAGTTTTTGTTTGTTTATTGCTTTATTTGTACAGGCTCAAGCGAATATAATCTTAACAGAGCCAAGTTAATATCTTAAAGTTAAAAAAATGATACCGAATTATTTACAAATTTATGGATGGGTAAAGGGTGAAGGAGATTTGAAAATTTACGAAGCAAATATTTCATGTTTCCTAAAACATGAACTTGTTCCTATACAACTTGATATCAGCAGTGTTATTATACAATTATTACAAAAACAAACATTGAATAAAAACCCACACACTCACACAAAATACAAACTAAACAGAAGGTTAATCAACCTTCAATCTAAGGCTAATATTCTTCTAAAGCCATAATATCCTGAACTGTAACATTTGGTTGTTTCCTCGAGCCAGAAGGGAATGATTAAGCCCAGATCTGACTCCAAATGCGCAGCACAAGACCAAATAATGGAACATTTAGTTATTTCTGATCCATTTGTTCTGCATCGATCAATTCCAATTCACCACCTTCATTTTCTAGTCCTGCAATCACCAACTGAAGCAATCAACACCGTTCCAAACCATACTCACCCAGATCTGTAACGCCATTTTTGAACAGGTTATCGCCACCCGAGTTGTCACCACCAGACTGCTCTTTGCTGCCGGTACTGCTCTTTTCGCTCTGCGTTGGCGAAGTCTGCTGCTGCTGTTGACCGGAGTTCAATTTGCTAGTAATTTGACCAGCTCCGCTACCCTCTCCGGCCGTCCCCGGTGGACTAGATCCACTGCCGGTAGATCCACCCCGCACTAGCTGCTCGGCCGGACCATTGTCGTTGCTGCCGCCACTACTGCCCGAACTGGGACCTCCGGTTGTGCTGGTGGAATTAGATTCGGTACTGCTGTTGTGACTGCTACCGTTGTTGTTGTTGCTACTGCTGCCGCCACAGGTAATGAACGACGAGGCCGGGGCCGATGTGGGCGTCCCAGTTGATTCGAATGGTTTCGATAATGGTTTTGCATTGTCCAGCGACAGGATAGGCCGAAACGGGCGAACACCGGTGGCCGGAGCCGTTGTCTTATCAGCCGTGTCCAGTGAACGGGTTTTCTGAAAGAGATACCAAGAATGATAGCGAAATATGAACTCGACCTGCTGTTAGGGTGGTCAACAATTTGGAAAACAATAATGCCTGATAAGACCGAAGCATTTCGAAAGTGATGACCACAAAACAATTCAGATGCATTCGAGCAGAGCGACCCGTTTTTGCACAATTGTCTTCACCTGAAACCGCAAGTTTCACTGCTTCGGCGTTCATGGCAAACAACTGACCCCGCATGCATTATCCAACTTTACTACATTTGAAATTCATAAACATGCACCACAGGCACAGGTAGAATCGTTGCGGGAGCAAAACTAGGTCATCTGCAACATTGATTGGTTCTGCGGCTGGGTTGGAAGCTTTTGGGTGGTTTGTCTTCCGGAACGTTCGTATTTTCCTAGCACCGAAAAAAAGGAGCTTTGTGAGCTTAAACGATTCCCCGTTCAGCCCGTCGTCCAATAATGGTGGGCGATTATCGGAATAGGTGCCCATTTTTCCTACTTTCTTCTATATTGGGAGTTGTTTATTTCGTTCAGTTTTTCACAATCAAACTTTTGGCCTCGTTGCTTCGGTGTTGGCGTGGTTGGTTAGCTGGAGCAGAGTTTGATCATAATTTAGGAAACTCGGCTACGTGACGGGTAGCAGCTAATTAATGGTAATTTGACTTAATTTGTGTGGCAATTATTGCTCTTTCTATTTGGCTCTTTCGCCTGTTCGCTGCTCGGTGGGATGATTGTATGGTAAGTTTTGGTTATTTTGGGGGGAGAAGTAAGATGAATATGATTCAATCCTTCCAACCATTTTTGGGACCTTTGAATAATTCATAAATGAGGACTTTTAATCCATGGAATTTACCTCAAACTAATCTGGCATCACTGCCAAGTCAAGTACAGAGATTTGATGAATCAACTTATGGGTCAACATCAGAAGGCCTATGAGTATGGTCTAGATACTTTTTAGATCATTTTAATAGATAGCATTTGAGTATGGCCCTGGAGTTAGTAAAGTTGTACCAATGGGACATAGTCCCACAGTATTTCAAGCAGAAATTTAAGCAATCATTGAATGTGTGAATATTTGCCTAATAAGGAAATATAGGTTTGCTAAGATCCGTATATTCTTGGCCAGCCAAGCAGCTCTTAATGCGCTTAATGCGTTTACATGTCGATCCTAGGTAGTGTGTCAACTCCAATGGATGTAATCCCACAGCGCTCGATTAATTCATGGCGCACTGTGCAGAGGTTGCCCTAGAGTCTCCTTATATTTTCATTCCAGACCATCAATAATTTACTACAGAATCTCTAGACTTCATATTTGATTTGAATTGTATCTACTGTGTTCATGTGTTTTTTGGTTTTTTGGTTTGCATGAACTTATTCATTTCATTTTTACAATTTAAAAGCCAATATTTGTATAGCTTCTATTTTCTTGAACAGTCCCCAAGCACAAAACGAATCCAAGCAAAAAATCACACTACTTAGTGCTGTTAGGCAAATCACTCAATCAAGTGTAATTATCATGATTTATGAACATCGCCTTGGGAATAATCCAATGACCAATTATACCGAAACTAGCTTCGCTAAACTCTCCCGTGAGCCCTCTTTTCCTAAAGCTCCACTTCCGTGACCCGGAAGTGGGAACTTCATAAATGAGAGGTCCCATTATGGCCCTTCAATTTTGTTTCGCTTCTCATAATGGCGCACAGGAGTATGCGACTGCGGGCTTCTTTTTTTTTAGCTCTAGCAAAAACACCACTCCTTCCTGAACTCGGCATAATGTCATTTTCAAATTCTCCTACCATCCCCCACGTGGCTGTGGGATCTGTGATCGCAATCTATGCGACTTTATGCTTTCCCTAGCAATTTCCTACCTCAGTACAACAACCCCTCGCGAGCTGGCTCAGCCCTGCCGTGCCCGTCTATCGTCTACCGTTGATGGTCGTCATCGGCTGAGATGATTATCTGAGAGAGGCCAAACCCGAGGTGGGGGCGAATCTCAGTGCGCAGTGTTCGAGTTACCTCAATTGATGAAATTTACATATAAATTAAATCGTTCCGTTGTCACTACGCCAATTCCGGACTTCTCGCAATGGTTGAAGTATAGAGATGACAGCCGACAGCCCATACAGCAGAATTGCGCTGCTGCTGCTGCTGCTGCTGCAATCGAAGGGCGTTGTGATGGCAACTCGTTACGAACCACAGCACGTCTCATCAAATATCAACGGACGAGACACGGACGTTATGGTTGCGTAACATAAAATCATCGTCTGCAAGAATTTCCCCTTCAGGGAAGGTTGGTTGATGGCAACCTCAGAAAGGTATGGTCCTTAACTAAATAGTTTTATGAAATTCTTCGACTCACATAGCTATGTGGATGCGAAGAATGCCACAACATTGCTGCCCTTTCATTTTGACGATGAAAGCCAAAACCCAACTCTTGGATGAGTTACTCTAGTAAATGGATCCAAGGTGTCCATCAATTTCCATGCGATCACTTACATACGATAAATTTTCCAACCATTGCCTATCGGTGATGGGAATGGAAATGCGCATTTATCTTATGTCGATCGTTGTGGTATGCAACCGTTGGTGATGCACTGGTACATATTTGTACGTGTTTGTACATTGCATCCGATGTCCCTCGAGAGAGATATGTTGCCCCGTTGGAGATGTGTAATGAATGTAATTGCATTTTTTGACTGTCTTTCCGGAGCCTGCGGCTCAAAGCAGGGGAAATTTGTTCGTTGAAAAGAGAATGTGGTAGATTTATTGTATCTCAGCAAGAACTGTGATACATCCATGATAGACATGCTCTCGGAGTGGGAATGATGAACAGTTTGGGCCGTATTATTGCAGGGATTGATGCCATGGAGCTAAGACATAGTGAATCGCAGTGGTCAATGGTAAATCTATTTGTCAGTTGTACAAACTCTGATTCTTACTTTGACATGACAGCCTACCCGGGCAAGAGCCGATTACTGAACGATAACATAGGAATATCTTTATGTGGTATGATAGGGGAATTGTATGTAATGTCAGCCTAAATGTCCCTAATTTGGGCCCATACATAAATTCAGCAATCGACTTAATTTTCAATAGCGACCAAAAATATCCACCAGTACCGTTCATCTAGATAAAATTGATAAATAGCAGATTTTTAGCGATGGGCCCAATCTTAGATCCATAGGCCAACATTAGAAACATTTCCCCTATTTTTTTTTTTTTCTTTAATTTGTTTTCCGTCGATCTTGTTTTCCGTGCTGAGCACCAATGCTATCGACGCCAGGAAGGCAGCTCCCACAAAATTATATGTCGTTTGTGTGAAACTTAAACTGCAGCGATAAAATTAAATGATAATTGCTGGAGTTGTAAGTTATTAGTAATAAGATTACCCAAGTAACCACCAAGCCCGTTAACTACCCGATAATCGCCCTTTTTGCGATATAAGGTAAATATAGGGTTTCCGAACTTTATATCAGTCGTATAGCAGCCTCATATACCAAAAAGGGCGATTAACGGGCTTGTTGGTTACTTGGGTATTATCTACGTTTATTTAAACGGAAATTGTATTAGATTAAGTATTACGTTAATATTTACTACGACGCATTATAGTAATTAATTTATTTATTATTATAACTGACAAATAATCAATGCTTTTTTGATGCCAGAATACCATAATTTGTTATTTGAAAGGTCTTCTAATACCAATCCAACAACTCTGGCAGGCCTGGGTTCAATCCCAGTCGGCGCCGCCGGGATGTTCTGAGGCATAACATCTGTGATCACGCCTTCCTCTGGAAGGGAAGTAAAGCCGCTGGTCCCCGGTTCATGAGTGGTGATGATGATGATGATGGTCCCACCTCTTACCCCTACAAAGGTTTGAGCTGGACGATTTATCTTTAAGATAATTAAATATGACATTTTAACCAGGTTGGCAAACAAAATCGAACTGGTTTCAGTTACAGATATAAATTCCCTCTAGAGTTTACAGTTGCTTCACAGCGATATAAATGTTGAAAAGCTCAGGCGTCCACCTCTTAGTTCGCCTTTTTGTCCACCTAAAATATTCATAAGTATTACAAGCAATCAAGAGTTAATGAACAATCAACAAAGCATCCTATTACACTAGTAACCCCGCAATCTGATGCTATCATAATTTTCAGCAATGTCAGGAATGCTCACGAGCCCCTAACATTTGCTAGAAAACTTACTACTAACTCAAGGTATCTTTCAAATAAGCTTCAAAATTGCATTTTTTTTTTATCAAATGTTAAATTCAGTCCTCTATATCCGCGAGGCTCAAACCTTTGTAGACTACTTTGGGTCGATGGGTAGGATCCAGGTGTGGGAGCTGCCTCCCTGGCGTCGGTAGCATTGGTGCTCAGCACGGAAAACAAATCAAGGAGCATTTTTAAATTGTTTTATCACGTGATCCCGACCATCTAGAAAGTTCGAGTCATCAGTAAAGTTGTTCAAAATGCCAAGGGCGTTCAGAGAGTAGACAGCTTGATTCTGAATTCTATCACTACGTGGTGCTAGTATGCATAACTTTTGAACATTTGAAAATGAAGAGAATTCAAACTGAAAAGCTTGGAATCACTTGAATGAGAAGTAAACCAGATTTGAAAAGTTAGGAATCACTTGAAAAATCTACCAGTCATAAGTATGGAATCGCTTAGAAAAGTATTGCAACACACATTAGCCAGACCCAATTCAATAAAGTTTAAACCCACATTGGAAAGTTCTGAATCACTTCGGAAAGCACTGAATCACTTCAGAAGTATTATTGAATAACTCTAGGAAAGTACTGAATTACTTAAGAAAAGTTCGGAATCACTTCAGAAAGTACTGACCCTAATAAAATGTTTTGGATAATTTGCTTAACGACGTGTTCGGGGTATCATCCTAACCAGTTGAGGAATAGCTCAATCATTTGGGTTATCATTCGTTTATGTTTTTTTATTATTAGTAGGGGAATCACTGCTGGATAGTTTGGAATAACTTCATAA